TATCTGGTTTTCTTCAAGAACTCTTATCTGAGCCATCTCTTAAAATGCAAGTTTCTGGGAGATAATCCTTATTGAAAGAAAAAAAAACAACTTTAGCCATTTAAGCAGATCAAATTAATTTATTTTAGCTGTTAAATATTGATTGCTAGACAGGTATTAAGTTCATCTACTTTTATTATAAAAAGCTAGAAAATAGATTTGGAGCTGTTTTGTATAAATCATCCCATTCGAATTGTATAAATCATCCCATTCGATTGAATGACTATCTCATTGATTGTTATCTTACTGGTTTTAGAAAGCACATTCCTCTGTACCTGGGAACCAGGACAGCACAATTATCCCAAGACCCGAGGGTTCCAGATAATGCATTCCAGTTGACTCAGTGGTCCCAAGACCAGAACAGTGCAATTACTTACTTCGTTAGAAATATATCATTTAAAAATATCAGTGTGTTTGCCAATGGAGGAGCCTATGATTTTAGAAGTTGTGAAATATATTTGCCAATCTAAGAAAATGCTAATTGCTTACTTTTTACTTGTAATTTGAAAGAATTTGTATGGTTTTTTGATAGAAGGTATAAGGTCTAAGAATTTTTTTTAAGGAAAATTAAGTAAATTGTTCCAAAGCTGGTTCTTTCTGAATGGGTAAGAAGGGTTGTGAAAGTTGCAGAAAGGTTGTGAGAGTTATAGAAGGTTTGTGAAAAAAAAATCTGAAAATGAAATTATATAAGTAATCTAAATAATAAATGTATTAAGTGAATCAATTTAGAGAACGAAAGTAAACATTTGATTTTGGTTCTTTTTTACTTTGTTAAATGGACAAGCATTTTCCTCTTACTTCCCAGATATAAGGAGACATTTTTTAAAAGCAATTTGGTAAATTATTTATTTTTCTCTCTACCTGATCCCTCCAGAACCTGGCAATTCTTAATGAGTGAGTCATGGCAATACATTTCTTTGCATGTTCAATAAGCCCAGTTTCCAATTGTGGTTTTATTAACCAAGACTTTGGCTGGAATGTCATGTCTGAGAGAGACATGCCTGGACTCTGAATGTCACCAGAAATCCTTAAGAAATGAAGACTGACTTTGAAGCCAATATGAGCCCCTTAGAGACATGGCCTGGTACATTGCTTGAGCCTATGATTCATAGTAGTCTTTCCAGGTAAGGAATGAAGGTTGTTTCCTGAGAGATGACAAGAAAGTGTTGTAATGTACCCCGCGAATTACAGAAGGACGCCTCAAGAAGTCGAATTAAAGAGTCACATTTATTGCAATCTGGGACTATGAGGGGTCATTCCCAAATTTCATAGTACCTATTTGGTCACAGTTCCAGGGTTATATAGGCAAAAAATCACAAAGGTATTGATTACATCTCAGGGTTTGGAATGAGGAACCTGGTTCGCAAAAAAAGCAGTTTACAGAAGCAGAAATTAAGCATGTTAATTGCAGTTTTGGGTCTCCGGATCACTGAGTTGACAGAATCACATCATCTGGGACCGCTGGGTTGACAGGAACACATTATCTAGAGCACTGGGGTCTTGAGACCACTGAGTAGGCAGGATTTCATTATTTAGAGCCCTCGGGTCTCGAACCACTGAGTTGGCAGGAAGTCATTATCTAGAGCCATCGAGGCAATTTAGAGTAATTGCACTGTCCTGGTCTTGGGACCACTGAGTCAACTGGAATGCATTATCTGGAACCCTCGGATCTTGGGATAATTGTGCTGTCCTGGTTCCCAGGTACAGAGGAATGTGCTTTCTAAAACCAGTAAGATAACAATCAATGAGATAGTCATTCAATCGAATGGGATGATTTATACAATTCAGAAAATCAAAGTAACTTTTCTATTGTTAAGCCAAACAACAGGGTTAGAATTAAACTATAGTTTCAATCTGAAATGATTGCTACCATACTTTAAAAGGAACCTCAAGACATCTTTGGGGACCTCAAGAACTTGAGAAATTCTCCCAAGTCTATAGGTATTGCAGGAAAACCTGATGGCAGCTAGGAGGTTTGGCTTCTTCGGCCTGAAAGGCTTATTGAAGCTCAATAATGAGAGTTCAGAGAAGCAGATTTAAGAGACCCTATATGACCAATTGCTATTCTTGTTGTGTTTATACAAACAATCAGGACAAATTGAAACTGGACTTAATACAGTAAATAAATTAGTCTTAATTTGGCTCTTTGATAGAAAAAATAAGGGCGATTGCAGGGGGGAAATTATGTTTCAATAGACTATCTAATGCACAGTTGTGAATATTAGACTCTAACTCAATTAACTATCTTCAAAACTTATTTTTCACCTATGAATTGAACTGGATCCTGAATATTTCTAATTTTCTTAGGTATTTGACTACAATCCTCCAAACTAATGTTTTGTTTTTCTCCCATCCTTTTACTTAGAACTAAATCTTTCTCCTTCTGTCAAACCATTTGTCATAATTCTTGTCATTCTGACTTTTGCCCCAATAATACCAAGACAGTTTATCTCCACCAGGTGACAAGCCCTACTCATACTCAGGGAATACCACCTCTAGACACCATTGACACCTCTTTCTATGCCCAGGCCTCATCATCCCTCTGACAGAGAGCAAGGATCTCTTGGCTCTGAAGAAAAATGCCATCTCTCTTCAGCAGGAAGCAGCTATAGAAGAGACCCTGCACCTCTAAAATCTCCACCCTTAAAGCCCTTAGGAAGGAGGACCCAGCATGTTCTCCCTCCCCGGAGCATGCCCATGCCTGTGCCTTTTCCTTCTCCCACCCCCCTTCCCACAGGTACATAGATCACCTTTACCTTCCTCACTTCTAAGCTCTAAGGGCCCTTCCTTTGCCTGTATCACCTTCTTCTACGAATTACTTCTACTACCTCTGTGATTTTCTAAATAAATGTTCTCTTATAGTTTGAGTCTTGGCTCTGAATTCTTTACTAATCAGAACTCAAGTACATAGGTTGCTGAACCCAGGTGGTCCGGTCTAACCCCACCAGTCTAACACCTGGTGCCATTCTCATCAGAGACAACAATGTGACAACAAATTGTGAAAATGTGTGACCTATTAAATAATCTCTTATCCAGGGTATATTTTCCCCCAAGCCTGTAGTAATAATTGAAATTATGCTTACAGCCCCATACTGCTTTGTTTGTGTGAGAGAGAGCAGAAAAACTTGTCTCCTTCATTGTTTACCTATAAGAATTTACTTAAAGAAAAATCTAGCTTCTTTAAAAGGAGTTTGAATCCCTAATACAGTCCAAGAGATGCCATGGTACAATTCAGGATCGTGGTCAGGCAATACACTAAAAGTGACATTTTTCCAAAAACTATAATAGAAAGTCAAATGGATACTTGGGATACCAGGGCGAGGGGACAAATGACTTTTAAATTTGATTGGTTTTGTTTTTATAAGGAGAAAATGATCCAAGAGAAAAGTTAACAATAAAAAGGTGGATTCCTCAAAGTGGTTGTCTTAAGCCCCCACTTCTCTAGCTATCCTGCAATCTTCTGGGTTGTGTGTGTGTGTGTGGTGTTTTCTGTAGGTGAGGATGGGTAGAGCAAGAGGAGGAGGAGAAAGCAGAGCTGTAGGTGCAGATAAGGCTGCTCTGTGGATGGCTTTAATTTTTCTCGACACCCTGCTCCAGAGTCATTCTCACATTATGTTCACTTTCCCTTCCTCTGTCCACAGAGACACTGCTTCCCACTGGTGCTCATCTCAGAGACACATGTGGCAACTATCCCCGCCCCCCCCCACCCCCCAGTGCATTAAAAATAAAGCAAGTGCTTGCCCAAAGTAATCAGAGTAGTGCCGAGACAAACCCTCTCAATAAATGCAAAGTCTGGGCAATGATTTCACAAAGAATCTACAGAAATGAGTCGTGTCCCTCTCCTCGTCACCTACCCGCCCCCCCCCCTCCCCCCAGCTCTTCATCCCTCCATTTAGATTTTGGGAGGCTGGTGGGTGAATGCAGGGGGATGGAGCTTAAGAAGAGAGGTCTATTCATCACTGCTGTATTGAAATCGCTTGAGAGATTTCCAGAGAAATTCTTTGAGGGTGCACACATCATATGGACATATGTGTGTGTGAGTGTGTATGTGTGAACATGTGTACAAGGACACATAGTCCATTCTACATTTATCCATCCAAGACAGGCAGTGGATAATCACAGTCCCTTAGACATTTTGAGAGCATGACCAGATTTGATCAGACCCCAGATCAGACAAGTTTCCCTGAGGCACTTTGGGTATATTTGTGATGACTTTGGGGGGCTTAGCACAGCTTCTGAAAAAACTGCCCGCTCTGAGTCCTTTGGACAGGGGCAATTTTCCCACCTGGTAGTGTGGCTGCTTTTGTTTGCTTGTTTATTTATTTTGACCATATATTACCACACCCTTTTCTCACCTAACTTTTTTCTACCTGGGCTGGACCTGCCTGCACTCTGCCTCCTGCCTGCCTCCTCCTCCCACCCTGCCTCTCACCCCCTGGGCACCTGTGCCAGGGTTTTGAATACCTAGATTGCTCTAGCAGTGAAACTAGACGGCTCAGGAGCGAAGGCACATTTGACTAAAAAGCAGCTCTTTGCTTTCTTCTGCTGCTGCTTCCCCTTCCTCTTTTCCCAAATAGATATGTAAACACATGTATTTTCTGCTTAAATTGAGCGAATTGGGTCTCTGTCTGTGCCTTGATTTAGCTATTGGGTTGAGCCTTGCTCCTCCCTTCCCTACTCGGATAGGAGCGCTCGGATCTGGAGCTGGAGCTTCCAAATTGAAGCTGGCCCCAGGCCAGGTGACCTTTTCTTTGTAAGTTTCTTTCCTACGCAGAGTTGGAGAGTGGAGGGGGAGGGGGGCGCGGG